GAGGACAGGGGGGAGTGGGTAAGGGCAGAGGGTGGGGTGGGATCTGGGTGGAGGGGAGCTATGGGGGGAAAAAAGAGGAACAACTGTAATAATCTGAACAATAAAGATTTGATTAAAAAAAAGGGTGTTGGATTTTGTTGAATGCTTTTTCTGTATCAATTGATATGATCATGTGATTTTTGTCTTGCAATTTGTTTATGTGATGTATCACAGTTATTGATTTGCAGATATTGTACTGGCTTTGCATCCCTGGGATAAATCCCACTTGGTCATGGTGTATGATCTTTTTAATGTATTGCTGGATCCGATTTGCTAATATTTTGTTGAGGATTTTAGCATAAATGTTCATCCAGGATATTGCCTGTAATTCTCTTTTTTTGTAGTCTCTTTATCTGGTTTTGGAATTAGGATAATGCTAGCCTCTTAGAAAGAGCTTAGACTTGTTCCTTCCTCTTGGATTTTTTCGAATAGTTTGAGGAGTATAGGTGTTAGTTCGTCTTTGAATGTTTGGTAAAACTCCCCCGTGAAGATGTCCGGACCAGGGCTTTTGTTTGCTGGAGGTTTTTTAATATTTTTATTACTGTTTCAATTTTATAAGTAGTTATTGGCCTATTAAGGTTTTCTGATTCTTCCTGATTTTTAGAAGATTGTATTTTTCTAGGAACATGTCTATTTCATAAACAAGATTTATGAACCTCCAGCCAGACTCACCAAGAAACAGAGAGAGGACCCAAATAAACAAAATTAGAAATGAAAGAGGTGAAGTAACAACTGACCCCACATAAATACAAGGGATCGTAAAAAAATACTATAAAGAACTGTATTCCAACAAATTGGACAACCTTGATGAAATGGACATATTTCTAGAAAAATACAATCTTCCAAAACTCACCGAGGAAGAGTCCATTGATTTTTAGGGAGTGTGGAAGGGAGCGGGAGACAGAAACATTGATGTGACAGAGATACATCATTTGGTTGCTTCCTGCATGCACCCTGACCGGGCCGGGGATCGAGCCTGCAACTGAGGTATGTGCCCTAGACTGATATCGAACCTGGGGCCCTTCAGTCCATGGGCCGATGCTCTAACTGAGTCAAACTGGTTAGGACTCTCCTTTTCTCTTGCCCTCATAGCCACATCCCGTTCACCCTATGAGAGAACTGAAGCCACACAAGGAATGTGAAACATCATTTATTTTTTTGTGGAAAGGTTGAACAAGGTCAAAAATATCCTTAGAGGGCACTGACCCAGCCCCGCCCTGCAGGTTCCTGGGGTCAATGCCTCTGCCCCCCCACCCCACCCCTCCCCATGCCCCTTGTTAACAAAAAGGAACGATTTGAAGGGAATTCATATATAATAATTATAATAAAAATATACATTAAACAAAACAAAAAACCCAAACAAGACAAATTTAGCTGAACTGCCAGCACCGTTCACCCCATTTTCCCCCAACCCCCCCAATGCCCCACCCCTGACATCCCTCACTTTTCACTCCCAGAAGGGTCTCTCACTTTCCCAAGTCCCCAGTACCATGACCACCTTAGGTGGCTGAAGGAGACTTCAAATGGATGGGCTGGGTGGGGATGAGGGGAGGGCAGGACACAGATAGGACGGGCTGAGGGGTGGGGGCATCAGGAAGTGAGGAGGTAACCTGACCAACAAACAAGAAATGCACAGGCACCTGCCCTCTCTGAGGCTTGCTGACTCGGTGCTGCCTACTGCTGGGAGCTTTCTGCTCTCTAACTAGGTAGCTATTCTCATTAAGGGCCAGCTGCCAGTCCTCACATGTGCCATCTTTGCTCCTTTTTCTGGGCTCCTTCCCCTTTCCCTCTATGCTATCTGGTCAGAGGGAAGGCACTAAGCGAGCAGGTGTGCCTTTCTTGGGCTCTTCCTCTAGCGCCAATAAAATGTGCCTTCCCCCAGGTACCAGTCCACCCTGTGCATCCC